CCCCCCATAGAATTCGCATGTAAACCAGACGCCCAGAACGCGCCCGTCAGGAATGCAGCTTTAAAAGAACATTACTTCTGCTTTATGACATGAATCCCATTTTTGTCTCTTGTGGGATGGATACACTGCAGAGGAAGGCTCTGAGTTTGACACCTGTGATCTGAAGTGATTCTGACCTGATGGTTGTCCTGTTCCTGTCTCTGTTCAGAGTGTTCAGCGGCCTCTTCTCATTCACCCTTAACTGAACGTCTCTGAACTCCTTGCTCTTTGACACCAGTTCAACCTGCACATAAAACGCCTTTAAGTCTGGATTTTTGTTTTCATCAAATCTTAAAAATAGTCATGCATCTGCACCAACAGGAGTTCCATTTTAACCATTTTGACACAAAACCAGTTTTGTTGTTTAGCCTCTCAAAAAAGGGTTTTAAAGCGTTTGCAGCTAATAACTCAGAATGCATGAAATTTACACCTGTAAAACGTTTACCAATAGACCTGTTAGACATCGTTGGAAAGCTTAGATTTTCCACAATTCAACCGCCAAGTTCATTTTATGGACACAGCGAGCACCAAAGCACAATTAACACAGATATAGCCACATGTCAAAATCTAAACATGACAAAATAGCCACAACAAGCAAGCAGGTCTTTATTACTGCGGTTCAAAGAAGACTTATTATTTTCTAGAATAAAAAACAACAACTTTGAGTCAGGTTTGAACCGATGCAGCTTGGACTGTGTTTTACTCACCCAATTTTCATCTAGAATTTTCACCAATTTTCACCTCAAACTAGAAGTTGTTAGCTTCCAAATAATGTAATTTGGGCTTAGAGATCCTAAGTTATTTCCTTTTTCATTTGGGATGCAAAATAGGTGAGAATTTCCCAAAATTAGGTGGATGTTAAGAGGTTAGAGAGCCTACCAGCTCAGGCAGGGTTTCTGTGCCAGTCACTCTGCTGAACAGCTGCATGGTTTCAAAGGCAACACAATACCTCGCCATCAGCCTGCCCGCTTCTGTTGAAACAAAACAAGCGTCTCCAGGTAAACACAAGGAAAAGCTCTTTCAAACCACTAAAGTGAGACTTAAAGGTTTTCTACCAGTTGCTTTGATGTTGATATCCTCATCCATGCTGATCAAGTCAATGGAGGACAGAGAGTTGAGGTTCTTAAGACACAGTTCTGAAGAAGACAGAGTAATCAGACTTTAGCTTGACAAGAGGAACACTGTTAGCAGCTAGCTGGTTGTTGGAGCTCTATGATTAAAATGTTTCAGTTAGCGCTCACCTTGGAGTTTGGCTTCAATGCCATATTGGTCAATGTTGATAGAGAAACCTGAGCAGAAAGTCAGGATAGAGGAGTAAACATAGGATGACAAGAGATTCTAAAAAACGTTTTAGCTTTGAATTTTACAACCAAATAGTTCCTTCACTTGGATTTTGTGTCAGAACGGTCTTTCCAGTCTTTCAACTATTCTACAAAGGCAAAAAACTCGTGTTTTTCTTGGAGCTCTGCAGCTCCTTTAAAGTTATAACCCTCTGGCAGGGGGGGGTTTACCATTAGGCAATACTAGGCAGCTGCCTAGGGTCCCAGTTCCTGGGGGCCCCATAAAACTCTGTTTACATGTATGGTTAATACAACTTATAATATTAAGTGTGTCTCAGCCCCCCCCTTCAGTGTCCACCATATTGGATCAGTCCATTTGCTGCACATGTTCAGAAAGGTCCAGACAAATGATACAAAGAGCAGTGTTGCCAACTTAGCGCTTTAGTCGCTATAT